GGTCATGGGGGACCTTGTCGAAGGCCTTACTGAAATCCAGGTACGCTACATCCACGACATTCCCCGCATCTACCCAGCTTGTAACTCTATCGAAAAAAGAGATCAGATTAGTCTGGCATGACTTGTTTTTGATAAATCCATGTTGACTATTAGCGATGACCGCATTTGTTTCTAAGTGTTTGCAGACCACTTCCTTAACAATCTTTTCCAGAATCTTGCCTGGTATTGACGTGAGGCTGACCGGACGGTAGTTGTTTGGGTCATCCTTTTTTCCTTTCTTGAAGATTGGGACCACATTGGCCCTCCTCCAATCTGCTGGAACTTCTCCCGTTCTCCAAGAACTCTCAAAGATGGTTGCCAATGGTTCCGAAATGACTTCCGCTAGTTCCTTCAATACTCTTGGGTGTAGTTGATCTGGCCCTGGGGACTTGAACTCATTTAGAGTGGCCAGGTATTCCTGTACGACTTGTTTCCCAATTTGGAGTTGGATGTTCTCAAATCCCTCATCCACTCCGTCTTGCTGAGGTTGAAGATGACTTTCTTTTTGTGAGAAGACAGAGGCAAAGAAGGTATTAAGTAGTTCTGCCTTTTCCCTATCCCCTGTCAGCATTGCCCCATCTTCTCCTCTTGCTTGCTGAGGTGTTCCTGCTAGTATCTCTATAGATCTTAGAAAGCCATTTCTTGATTTAAGGCATTGGCATGCTGGCTAATATCTGAACAAATGATGGGCTGGAGATGTCTCTGCCTTGGTCATTTCATTACTGGCTGCTACTTCCTGACAGATGTCGGGTGATACAATACCGGCTAAACGGTGTAATTTCTCCAGTTGTGTATGACATAAACATCCTTGCAGTACACCTTCAAGTGATTTCTTACTTATGGTGACCCTAAGTTTTTCTTGGCAAGATTTGTTCAAAGGGGGATTACCTTTGCCTTCCTTGGAAGCTGGGAGAGTGTGACTTGCCCAAGGTTATCCATGGCCGAGTGGGGATTCAAACATTGCTCACCGGAGTCATAGTCCAATGTATTACACAGTGTTGGTTTTCAGTGAGGATAGTGGGGAGGGGAGCATAACTTGATAGGTGCTAGATCGTTTGGAAAGTAAAACAAATATAGTTATCAGAAAATTGCAATCAAAGCACCCCTGACAGATGGCCATTGAGCCTTTCATTAAAAGCCTTCAAAGAGTTTCCACTCTTCTTAGGAAAATCATACTTTATGAAAAGGCTATGATTTTTCCAAATGGCAGTGAATGCCAACTAATCTCCAGTAGGTCACCCTTCCAAAAGGCTTTGGAGAATCTGGTTTTCCAAAGGTTATGATCTCAAAGGTAATCCTTTTCTCAAATGCCATGGAATTTTCCTTCCTTCCCAAAAGTTACCAGAGAAAACTGGTCAAAGGCCATTTCTCCAGGGCATGTGCTTTGTCTCTGGTGTTCAGAATTACCAAGCAGCAGTGTCTGGTTGAACAATTGAACACAGAAGAGATACTGTTGCTGTTGCATCCTTGGGCCTCTGCAATTCATGCATTCAAGAGAGCAAAGGCATTACATTTAAGGGAGGTGACACAGCAAAGATCAAAGATTTCCTGACTTTTTCAACATCAGGAATGGAGAAAGGGGTATAAAATAAGACTTTAGATTTTCACAGTGCTCAAGAAGTTTTATATCATATTGCAGCAATCCTTACATCCAGGGTGGGCAAGGCATGCTCCTCTGGGCTTTTTTTTGGCCTTCAAGGTCCTAAAGGAGTCAAAGAAAACAGCAACTAAAATGCTCTTTTTGGGGTGCGGAGGGTGTTTTAATTATGATTGAAGGCTAAGTAGAAAACACACCATTCAATTATTTGGACCCAAAGCCATTATTTTATTTTGATGTGCTAGCAAGATAGCTTCACCTTCAGGTAACTTTGTGAATGAGAGACCTCCAAGAAATTGCTGCCTGCAGAGACATCCCTACTTGTGACTCCTTCCAACTCTATGATTCTATGTTGTCGTCCCACTCTGGATTTTGTCCCAACCACTTTCTAAAACTGACAGCATTGACAATCATTTAATCGGGAAACCATACCACAGTCTGAACACACCCAATCTTGTCTAATGTAGGTATATTAGGAGGATCAGGCTTGGTTACTACTTGTGTGGAAAATCTTCAGAGATCTCCAGGTAGGGAGGTAGGAAAGAAATCTGCCTAAAACCCTGGTGAGTTATCACTGCCAGTCTCTGCACAGCTCCCTATGGTCCTAATCATCTATAGTCTTAAGAGAAAGGAGAGCATTGAGATATTGGGTTTGGTGTTTGTTTTGTCATTCTGTCAATAACACATTCCTCCACATGTAATCTGCCTGAGAGGAGGGATGGGACCCATATCAGCACAAACAGAACAAATCCAGCAATTTTAATTTTATTATGTACTTCTGCAAAAATGCAAAACAAGAACAGTATGTTCACACAAAATATGAATATATGGTTCATTCACTACAAATCATATTCCCACCATTGCTTCAGAGACAATGTGTTCTGATGTGTTGTCAAAGGATTTCATGGTCGGGACACTGGGTTGCTGTGAGTTTTCTGGGCTGTATGGCCATGTTCCAGAAGCATTCTCTCCTGACATCAGGAGAGAATGCCTCTGAAACATGGCCATACACCACAGAACACTCACAGCAACCCAATTTGTTCTGATATCTCCTCTTTCCCAGTTTGTGAATGGGTCAAAGGGGGGGGGGAGCCCAAAGAACTGGAAGAGAGTGAGAAATTGAAGACCTATGCATTTTTGTTGGCTTGATTCTCCATAATATATTGGGAAGGAGGAAGCGTAGTTGCACAATAAATCGCCTCTGGGGACAAGAAACTTCCTCACAAAGGTTAGTTTTAGGGTGCATGTTCACTGTAGAAGTACTGCAGCTTGGCACTTCTTTAACCCAGGCCTCAGTGCTATGAAATCATCATGGGAGTGGGTTTTTTTTTGGGGTGGGGGGGTTGTGGTGTCAGGAGCAACTTGAGAAACTGCAAGTCGCTTCTGGTGTGAGAGAATTGGCCGTCTGCAAGGACGTTGCCCAGGGGATGCCCAGATGTTTTGATGTTTTATCATCCTTGTGGGAGGCTTCTCTCATGTCCCCGCATGAGGAGCTGGAGCTGATAGAGGGAGCTCATCCGCGCTCTCCCCAGATTCGAATTTGCAACCTGTCGGTCTTCAGTCCTGCCAGCACAGGGGTTTCACCCACTGCGCCACCAGGGGCTCCATGGGAGTGGTAGTTTTTCAAGTTGAACAGTTCTTTGACAAACTACAACTCACAGGTTTCCAAAGCATTGAGCCATGGTAGTTCAACTGCAACCAAACTGCATTCATTCTACAGCATGTGTCAAACACAAGGCCCACAGGCTGGATCCAGTCCACCATGTCCTTTTATGTAGCTCACCAGATGCTGGACTATAGCACCTGTACTCATTAGACATCATGACTAGAAGCTGATGGGAGTTGTGATACAGTAACATTTGGAAGTCTGCAGTTTGTTTGGTTTAGTCAGGATTGCAAATATTGAATTTAGATACAAGTCTTGAGGATGTGATGTCTGACTTTAAAATGTCCTTTAACTTTCCACAGCCCCAGAGCCACAAGATGCGGGTAACACATTTCTCCTAAGACTCATAAAGTTAGAAGAAACCATAAGGAGCTGGTGCAGTGGGTTAAACTGCTGAGCTACTGAACTTGCTGACCGAAAGGTTGGTGGTTTGAATACAGAGAGCGGAGTGAGCTCCCACTGTTAGGCCCAGGTTTTGGCAAACCTAGCAGTTTGAAAACAAGTAAATGTGAATAGATCAATGGGTACCCACTTCTGTAGGAAGGTAAAGGCACTCCATGCAGTCATGCTGCCACATTGACCTTGGAGGTGTCTACGGATGGTTCTCAAGCTTATAAATGATGTAGCCTAGTGGTTCTCAACCTGTGGGTCCCCAGATGTTTTGGCCTTCAACTCCCAGAATCCTAACAGCTGGTAAACTGGCTGGGATTTCTGGGAGTTGTAGGCCAAAACACCTGGAGACCCACAGGTTGAGAACCACTGATTAAAAAGTGAAGATTACCGCTGACATGAAGTCTAATCGTGTCTGACTCTGGGGGGTGGTTCTCCATGGATTCAAAGGCAACCTTAAGCCTGATGTGGTCCTCCATGACAACTCTATAGCACAGGTGCGCCCTTAGAATCAGAGAACCATAGAGTTGGAAGAGACCTCATGGGCCGTCCAGTCCAACCCCGGCCAAGAAGCTACACTTCTCCCAAACAAGGCCTTGGGCTGGGGTTCTGGGGGGGGGGGGCGTTTGGGTGGCTTCTCTCCGCTCAGCCCACTCCCTCCCCCAGGGGTCGCTTTGAGAGGTGCCCTTGTTATGGGGCAAGGAAGCCTGTGAATAAACACGGGCGCAGGTTCCAGGAAAAGCGAGCCGCTTTCTCCGCCGCCCTAGAGGGGCCACTTCCGTCCTCCTGGGGGCAATCAGTGGGTCAAACCCTTGTGCCGGCAGGAGTTAAGACCGGCAAGTCGCAGGTTCGAATCCGTGGAGAGCGCGGATGAGCTCCCTCTGTCAGCTCCGGCTCCCCATGCGGTGACAAGAGAGGAGCCTCCCACAAGGATGGGAAAACATCAAAAGCATCCGGGCGTCCCCTGGGCAAAGGCCAATTCTCTAACACCAGAAGCAAGTTGCAGTTTCTCAAGTCGCTCCTGACACGAGAAAAAAAAGGGGGGAGGGGGTCAACCGAGGCGCGCCTCCCGGCCACCTGTCCCTTGGCTCCAGGCCCCAGAAGCCCGGCTTCCCTCCCTCCTTCCCTCCCCCCAAACCTCCTGTAGCCGGGCGGGGGGGGGCACTCCGTGAGGCCTCCGCCTTGGCTGCTGCATCCTCATCCGGGCGCGGGTGCGGAGGGAAGGAAGGGGGGGGGGCGTTGCGTTGCGCGCGGGGCGCGGATGGCGCGATGATGACATCCCTGGACGGGCGGGTCCAGGGCGCGCGGAGGAGGAGGAGGAGGAGGAGGAGGCGGCGGGGATAGAGGCACCGGGAGCGCGGCTGGGCGAAGCAGGCGCCGCCGTCTCCGCTCCTCCGTCCGTCCTTCCGTCCGTCCGTCCACCCTGCCCTCCATGGCCGAGCGGGCTTGAGCCCCCGCAGCGCCCGCCTCTCCTCTCCTCTCCTCCTCTCCTCTCCTCCCGCCCTTTCGGCCCGGAATGCTCTGAAGCCCCCGGTGGAGACGCAGCCCAGTCCAGCGCTTATCGCCCATCGCAGGTGAGCCAGGAAGGAGGCCGAGAGAGGCAGGCAAGGTCCGGGCGGAGGCCTGCTCTGGGGCGCAGGGAGGGGGGGCACTACCTCGCTGTTTATTTGGGGGGGGGGGAGAAGAGGTAGATGCTTTCATCCGAGATGGTTTTTAAACATTCCCCGGCCTTTCCCAGGAGACTCCGAGAGGGATGGAGGCGGTGCGCATTCCTGGGTTTCTTCCCAGCATCCCCGGTCCCTTTCCCTCCCTCCCTCCGTTTTCAAGGACACGGTGGTGTCTCCGAGTGGACTGCCTCGATCCGGATTGCAGGAGCCCCCTTGCGGGAAAGGGGGAGGGGTGCTTTTGAGGAAAGGCGAGGGAAGGGGCCATTCCTCCCCCCCCCCCCCCCCCCCGCCGGCTCCTTCGGTGGCCGAGGCTGCTGCAGCCATTGGGGCAGGACGGAAAGGTAGGCCAGGGCAGAGATGGCAGCTGGGAAAGGATGCCAAGGGAGGGGGGCATGGAAGAGCTGTGTGCTCCATCCTGCTGCAATGGAGCAGCTGCCCCCCAGACTTGTTGAGCTGGCAAACGGAAGCAGAAGGTTGCTTTCTCCCCGAGCATCTGCCAGAGGGACCTGTGCGCCCCCCCCCCTCTCCTTCCCTCCTCGTTTCTACCTTTTTGGGCAACACCTTTGGGCGGCGGGAGGGATGCCTGAGAGGGGGAGAGGAAGGGAGGAACGAAAAAAAGAAAAAGAAACTAAAAGACGAAAAAAAAAAAAGAGTTTTTTGTGAGTAAAAGAAAAAAGAAAAAAAGAAAAAATAGCAAAAAAGAAAGAAAAAGCAGAAAAGGTGAGAGAAGGAAAAAAGTGGAAAAATTAAGCATCTGTACTTCCAATCTTCTTCGTCTTGTGTTGACCTGTCCCCACCTCATCCCTCCCCAAGCCCGCCCTGCGATGGAAGCGGGAAGCGCCGCGAGCGCCGAGCCAGCCTCGCTGAAGCCATCTTGCTTGGCGCCTCCTCCTCTCTCTCTCTCTCCTTCTCTCTCCCTCTCCCCGCAGAGCTCACTGCCGGGATGGACGTGTTCATGAAGGGCTTGTCCAAGGCCAAGGAAGGGGTCGCCGCCGCCGCCGAGAAGACCAAAGAAGGGGTGGCTGCGGCCGCGGAGAAGACCAAGGAAGGCGTGCTCTACGTCGGTAAGGCGCCCGCAGCCCCGGAGGCGGAGGAGGAGGAGAAGGGGGGGGTGTGTGCAAAGGCTGCAGGGGCCCCATGCGGAGCAGAGATGCCCGCCTGGCCCTGGTTGGCAGGGAAGGAGAGAAGGCAGGGAGCCTCCCTAGGTATCATTCTAGCCAGGTCATGCCAGAGGGCCATCTGGCATCCTGACCGCCCCCCTTCCCCCGCCTCCATCTGTGGTGATGAGATTGGAGGGTACATGCAACCAGGGTGGAGTGAGACATTCATACCTGATCCTATGGGATGAGAATCTGCATCAATCCCATCCCCACCCAAAAGGCTTCCCGTTCTAATGTCTTAGAGACATTAGTTTGTTCTCCAAATAAACCCCTGCCCCTTAATATCCATGCACAGCCCCACTGACAGGTGGTCACAAAAGTGCTGTTGGGAACTGGAATTCTGCTCCAGCCCAGAGCCAACAGCGTGCCCTCAGCACAGACCTAGGCAAACTTGGGCCCTCTGGGTGTTTTGGACTTCAACGCCCACCATTCCTAACAGCCTCAGGCCTTTTCCTTTTCCCTTAGTGCAGGCCTGGGCCAACTTGGTCCCTCCAGGTGCTTTGGACTTCAATTCCCACCATTTCCAACAGCCTCAGGTTCCTAACTTAGTGCAGACATGGGCAAACTTGGGCCCTTCAGGTGCCCTTAATGTGCCTTTAGTGCAGGCCTGTGCCAACTTGGTCCCTCCAGGTGTTTTGGACTTCAATTCCCACCATTCCTAACAGCCTCAGGCCTCTTCCTTTTTCCCCTCAGCCGCTTAAGTAACTGAGGGGGGAAAGGAAGGGGCCTGAGGCTGTTAGGAATGGTAGACGTTGAAGTCCAAAACACCCAGAGGACACAATTTTACCCATGCCTGCCTTAGTGGCAGTGTGATTCTGTGATAGACCTGGGAAGGCATCCAACTTTCTTGAAACCTCAGACGGGAACCCAACACTGCATGGCGATCCCTCCCTTTGGTTTTCTTTGCTTCTCATCTTGCTGGTTTTGTGAAGCAATAAAGGGCACAGGATGGATGGATGGATTTTTTATATATATAAAGCAATCGTTTCACAATGACACACAGGCTTCTAGGCTTTACAGAACTCTTAGTCAAGCAATATATTCATACAAATGCTGCCATTTTATTTAATGAATACCTATCTGGTGGCGAAGTGAATTAAACCGCTGAGCTGCTGAACTTGCCGACCAAAAGCTTGGCTGTTCAAATCTGGGGAGCAGGGTGAGCTCCCGCTGTAAGCCCCGGGTTCTGCCAACCTAGTTCAAAAACATGCAAATGTGAGTAGATTGATAGGTACCAGTTCTGTGGGAAGATAATGGTGCTCCATGCAGTCATGCTGGCCACATGATCTTGTAGGTGTCTATGCACAATGTGGGCTCTTTGGCTTAGAAATGGAGATGAGCACAAACCCCCAGAGTTGGACGTGACCAGACGTAATGTCAAGGGAAACCTTTACCTTTACTATGTGAAGTATGATGACTTGCTCATATTATTTGAAGGCTGGTTTGGTCCATCAAGATTAACATATGTCTATCTGAGTATTAATTGTTGTTGTGTGCCTTCAAGTCATTCCTGATTTATGGCAGGACTATCACAGGGTTTTCTTGGCAAGGATGGTTCGGTGAGGGTTTGCCACTGCCTTCTTCTGAGGCTGAGAGAGTGTTGCTTGCTCAAGGTCACCCGATGAGCTTTCATGAATGAGTGAGAATTTGTGCCTTGGTCTCCAGTGTCATGGTTTGATATTCAAATCCACTATGCCACAGATTCTATATCAGGCATGGGCAAACTTGGACCCTCCAGATCAGGCATCCTCAAACTTCACCCTTCAGCAGTTTGGACCTTCAACTCCCAGAATTCCTGACAATTGAAGAAGCTCATTAGGGCTTCTGGGAGTTGGAGGACCAAACAGCTTGAGGGCCACAGTTTGAGGATGCCTGCTCCAAATGTTTTGGACTTCAACTCCCACCATTCCTAACAGCCTCAGGTCATTTCCTTTCCCCCCTCAGCCGCTTAAGCTACTGCTTTTTTAGATATAGATTTCCAAAGACTCTTGTCTGTGTTTAGTTTAGTGCTTCAATTACAGAGGTACCAAGGGGCCATAATTTGATTAAAATAGGGGGAAGACTGTAAAGGGATCAATGAGTCCTTGTGGAATCTACGAAAATGCTCTTCTCATCCTTTCCCCTCCTAATTGGAGAGTGATTCAATTCCTGGATGCAATGCACTCCTTTCCAGATCTAAGTCCAATGTTGAGGTTCATATTTCGGGAGTCTTCTCCCAAATGGTAAACAGTTTATTGTCAAGGGCTGGAATAACCGGGTTGTTGTAAGTTTTTTGGGCTGTATGGCCATGTTCCAAAAGCATTTTCTCCTGATGTTTTGCCTGCATCTATGGTAGGCATCCTCAGAGGTTGTGAGACCTCACCGGTGAACCGTTTGTCTTTGGGAAAAGGCATGTTGGCAGATTTTGTAGCCAGCTCAGCATGAATGTTGGGCAGGCGTATATTCATAAATCTCTGCTCAACATACAGGAACCATTTCCGATTTTATAGATTCACCAGCCTCACTTCCCAGAATTTGATTGGACAACCCAACGTCTCCCATCACTCAGGATGATCATGCAAAACGTGCTGAAGGAGCTCCTCCTCCTAGCAATTCCCCTTCTATTTTTTTCACCAGCATTTCACTTGGTCCCTTCTAGGCTTGGAAAACATTTGTATAGTCTTCCTGTATATATAGGTACATCCTCCTCCTGGAATGGTAGCTTCCATGAAAAAACAACAGCAAAACAGCAGATGTCTACAATTGCAGCCATGCATTGGAATAAATGTGATGTGAATTTTGCCAAATATTTTTTAAATGGCAGCTGACATTCTTGAAGAGGCTGTGAAGCAGCCATGATGTGCAGCAGGGGACTGGCAGCAGCAATGTCTGGCAGCACTTGCTAAAATAAATTAGCAGGGGAAAAATTAACAAGGGGTGTCAGTGCGTGGGTGGAATGGCGCAAATACGCATCTGGTGGGGGGGGGGAATAAGGATTCTGGAAAGGGAGGAAGAACAGTGTACTAAGAGAAAGAACACAAGGGAGATGAGGTGAAAAACCCATCCATTAACATGGTTCACATTTTTCTGTGAAAATTATATACATTGTGACAGACAAACAGGGTGTGATATCAAGTGTACTATCTCTCAGGCCCCTTCCTCACAGTTGAATAAAATCCCACATTATATGCTTTGAACTGGAATAAACAGCAGTGTGGACTCAGATGACCCTGTTCAAAGCAGATATTGTGGGATTTTCTGCCTTGATATTCTGGGTTATATGGCTGAGTGGAAGGGCCCTCAGTCTAATAAATTCTTCTCTTAAGGCAGTGGTTCTCAATGTGTGGGTCCCCAGCTGTTTTGGCCCACAACTCCCAGAAATCCCAGCCAGTTTACCAGCTATTAGGATTTCTGGGAGTTGAAGGCCCAAACATCTGGGAACCCACAGGTTGAGAAACACTGTCTCAAGGAATCCACTTCCAGGCTTTCAGATTATGAATCCACCTCTTCATGGATTGCATTTAATAGGCCCACATGAGCTTGGAAAGGTATTTTTTGGGAACGACAGTGTATGGCCATGCTGGTTGGAGGATTCCAGGAGTTGTATTCCCTGAAAGAGGTGTTACAAATCTTCTGTATTAGAGCAAGTGCTGAATCTTGGGTACAGCCAAGGTGGGTTTGCATTAAATTTCTATTTTCTGACAATCTAAATAATTAGAGTGATTCAAGCTAGGATTGTCCCTCATAGTGAATGGCAAGCATAAACCATGACAACAGAACAAGCAATCCGTTTAGGTATTGATAGCAATCTGGGGGTAAATGTGCCAATGTCACCCATGGTGCTCACATATGTCTTCAGTTTATGAGTATAAGGTGCTGATGGTCCATTCATTAATCTTGAAAGCTCACATGCTATGAAGCTGTGATTGTAGGATATCCTACAGTTTGCCTTGGTTCTATTCTGCCTTTCCAGAATAGGAACTCCAGCAATATGTCCCAGAAGCACTAATCAGAGTTTTAAGATGGTCTGCACATTACACTTACCCTAAAATCCTACATCCACCTGTCACACCCAGCACTTTTTAATCTGTACCCATTACATTCGGCCCGGCCCTAGTTTTATTGCGTTATGGTGTATTGTTTTTATTGTTTACTGCTATTGCTTTATTGTTTGATTTGCTTTAAGTTATGTGTTTTGTTATGCTGTTGTTTTATTGAGGCCTTGGCCTGTGTAAGCTGCATTGAGTCCTTCGGGAGATGCTAGCAGGGTACAAATAAAGATAATAATAATAATAATAATAATAATAATAATAATAATAATATAATAATAATAATAATAATAACCCCCCCCCCCCCCGTTCAAAAAACAGTTTTGTTGCCTCTAGATCCAGTAGTTGCCTGTCAGTATGACTTGATTCTCTTCTCTTCCTCACATCCCTAAATGTACTATTTGATGGAAGGAGTTCTTCATCTTTGGAGCAGATTTTGAGGGTATTCTTGGTATGACCAGTTCTCAGTTCCATTGATGGAAGCAGTTCCATCAGTGGATCAACTTTGTTGGATCCTGGCTAGTGTGATGAAGAGAGGTTCCCAGGGAGAAAGGCAGGTCCTGCTCCTGTAATGTTCACATAACATCACAATTGAAAAATATAGGCCAAGCATTGAGAGGTAAATCCTGCAGAGGCCAATGGGACTTTCTCCAGCTAACTGCTTGAGGGTATCATTACTCTAACACAGTGGTTTTCAACTTGTGGGTCCCCAGGTGTTTTGGGCCACAACTTGCAGAAATCCCAGCCAGTTTACCAGTTGTTAGGCTTCCTCGGAGTTGAAGGTCAAAACATTTGGGGAGCCACAGGTTGAGAACCACTGCTCTAACACAAATTTCTCTTCTTTTTTCAAATTCTATTTTTCCAGTGTGAGTAATA